TATCTCAGTGTGGTTTTGATTTGCATCTCCCTGATGATTAGTGAGGTTGAGCATTTCTTCATGTGTTTGTTGGCTGCTCGAATGTCTTCTTTTGTGAAGTGTCTGTTCATGTCTTTTGCCCATTTTATAATGGGGTTGTTTGTTTTCTTCTTTTCAGTATGTTTCAGTTCGAGGAAGTCAGTTTTAACAGGTGCTTCCATTGAGCAGAGTGGTGGTGGGCAGGGTAGTGGTCTGGTAATAGTAGCTTACATGGGTTGCGTGGTTGCTTCCTGCCAATGCTTTGCTGAGCACCTTATAGACACTGTCTTGCTGAACCTCATGTCAGCCAGCTGAGGTAGGTGCTCTTGTTGTCTCCATTTTGCAGCTGGAGAAAGCAGGGCTTAGAGAGGTTCCAGAACTTTCCTGAAGTCTTGCAGTAAGTGGCAGGGCTGGGATTTAAACCTGGACATGTCAACTCTGGAGCCTCAGCTCTTGCCTGCCATGCGAGTAGCGGTGCTCTTGAGGCCATGCTGCATTGGGAAGGCAGGGAGGGAGGATAGTAATGCTTTGGTAAAAGAAGCAAGCCTTAAGGAGAAGTAAGCTAGATAGCATTCATGAGCTGAGCGGTCTTTATGCTTCAGAGGAACGTGAGTAGCAGAAGTTCTGGGAGGTGACTTTCCTTTTGAGGGGCTAAAGGATGGGACAGGAGTAATTTTAGGCTCTGATGCCCAGTGTTTAAGCAGAAGCTGAGACCATCCATAGGAGACACTGTGGGGGGATTCCATTATTGTGCAAGAGATGGAATTACATGCTTTACAGGGTTCCTTCCAACTTTTATTTTATGGTTCTGTGTATTTTGAAAGGCCAGACTACTCTGGTTGGAAGCTGAGAACAATTCCGTATTGTCCAACTTTTTCTCAACAGGGGAATTAGGGAGGATAATTACCTTCCCTAAGTAAAATGTATCGTCATGGGTCACACAGGAGATTATTTGTTATGATACCCAACTGACTTTTTAAACAGGGGACCCTTTATTTTACTGAGTTTAAATTTTGAGGCCCTAGAATCTTCCAGAATTCTACTTTATCTCTTACTGAAATAAAAAGTAATAGCTAGCATTGAGCAATACAAGTATGTTAGCCACTGTACCAAGCTCTTTTCAAGCATAATGTCATTGATTGCACACAACAACCTCTTGAAGTATTATCCCCATTTTACAGAAGAGGAAACAAAAGCAGAGAGCTTTTCATGGACTGGGAGGCAGTGGTGAACTAATAGAGCTTAGGGACAGAGAGCCAGGGTGGAGTGCCAGAGCTGACCTCCCAAGCCTGTCCTGTGTGTCAGACACCTCCTGTGTGTCAGACACCACTTGTCAGCAGAACTCTGGGTGTCCATATAGCGTTTGAAGTCCCACAGTTCTGCAGCTCCATGGCAGGTTGGCGCCAGCTGTGTTTTCTCTTAGGTGGTCTCTTGTAATTGTGTGAGTGACACAGGATCCCTAAGTGCAGCTGCTAGGCGTTTGCAGGCACAAATGGTCCTCTATCAGATAAAGAGGCAGGCTCTTCCACCCTGCTACTGAACAACAGGAAGTCTTCCAGAAGATTGCTCCCAGACCCATCGCTTTCCACCTCTTCCCCTCCAGGCCACAGAGGCCTGTTCTGTTAACTTTCCTAGTCTTTGTTTTTCCTTCCAGGACATTACTGATAATTGCACTAAGACCTTTCCTTCTCCTCCTCCCCACTCCTTCCTCCACTTCACTAATGGTGGTGAGAGGCCTCCAAAGGTTTCCAGCCAGATCAGGAAGCCTTTTACCAGGTCCTTTGTGAAGGGAATTATTGCCTGAGACCCATGGGGAAGAATATGCCCTTCCCACTCCTATGGGTTGTTTTTTAATTGGAACCCCTGGCTAATTGCCCAGTTGAGGCTCATTAGCTGAGGTGGGTGTACTGGCCTGGTGTTTTCAGGGGGAAATGTAAGATGTGGCTAAAGGTTACTGGTTCAATTATCTTTTCTACTTAACAAGCATATAGGTTTAGAAAGAAGATACTTATTATTTCTCTGACTTATGAAATTATTACATGGGCACAGTAAAAAAATAGGAAGTAGAATTGTGCAGAAAGAAGAAACTCAATTCTCCATATTCTCACTGTCCAGAGAATAAGAACTATTAACATTTTTCACCCATTTTCCCTGGGTCATTGTTGATAAAAAGCTCTACTTAAGAGTCAGATAGCCAGGCTCGGTGGCTCAGCCTGTAATCCCAGTGCTTTGGGAGGCTGAGGTGAGTGGATTGCCTGAGCCCGTGGGTTCGAGACCCGCCTGGGCAGCGAGACCTCATCTCTACAATAAATCAAAAAATCAGCCAGGCGTGGTAAGCGCATGTCTGTAATTCCAGCTACTTGGAAGGCTGAGGCGGAAGGATCGCTGGAGCCCAGCAGGTTGAGGCTGCGGTGGCCGGGAGCGGCCACTGCACTTCAGTCTGGGTGACAGAATGAGACTCCAACTCAAAAAAAAAAAGAGTCAGATAGACCTGGATTGTAGCACTGGCCTTCCTGCTTGCTAATTATATGTGACTTGGGCATCTTGCCTCTCTACCTCAGTGTCCCCAACAATAAAATGCAATAATGGTAGTGTCTGCCTCAAGCTGTGGTTATGAGGATTCAGCAAGAAAACATTCAGTAAGAGAATACTGATAAAGCCCTTAGCACAAGGGTTGGCGTGATAGTGCTTGATACATGCTATTATTATCAGAAATGGAAATAATACAGAACCATGCTGTAAAAATGTAGCATCCAGTCATTGACTGCAGTTACCAGCTGCAGGCAACATTGGGTATGTCATGCTTTGTCATTCCAGAACATTGAATAATGAATTGTGTCTGCTCCTTCCCTTTATGGGCCTGGAATCTTTCAGTAAGGTATCCAGGTGGTGATGGTAGTTCAGAAAACAGCAGTCACACAGCTATTTCCTGGCCTGTTCTCTACTGGGGCCAAATATTCATCTGATGGGTAGTCTCAAAAGGAGAGCGTTAGTTACATTGGGCAAGGCCCCAAGCCTCTTGCCTGAGAACATACCTGTGCTCTTGCATTTGGCAACCTCTCAGTGTCCTTCTGGAAGGCCAAAGTATGCAGACACAAATTTAATCTGACTCAAAATTCAAACAGAAATTACTTTTTAATAGTTGGTCTCAAAAGTACGCTGACTTCCTGACCCTTATGTTGAAGCTTTTAAACATAAGCATATAAGGGAAATATTAATGCCCCTTGATGTTTTTTATTTGTGCAGTCTTTTTGGATATTGTTTAAAACATTGGTTTGCCTTTAGGTATAAAATATCTAGTTTGGAAGAAATGATACAATGATCGACACGATTCCAGAGAGCAGTACTTGGCAAACTCTCCCTCTGCATGTTATTTGTGTTTCTCAAGGTCTAGAGATGCTGGCTCTTTTGTTTGAGAGTTTATTCTGTGTTCTCAGTTGCTCTAAATAAGTTCATCTTCAATGAATGCTCTCTCTCTCTCTTGCAGCGTCTAGGTTGTTGGGTCGGGGGTTGGGGGAAGGTAAATTAGCTTCCCCGCTCCCTCCCTCTCCGCAGCTTCTTGCAAACAGTGAACTGAGATTCTTTAGCCTTTCACTCTCAGCAACTGGCATTCCTGCTAAGGTAGGAGGATGCTTCCCGAAGTTTCATGGTGATCATTGCTGCATAATTCTTCCTGAAAGAAAACTTGGCACTCAGAAAGCAATTGAAGGAGAGACAGGAGAGACAATACTGTTCCAGATCATTGCACTCTTGGGGGCTGTGTGGGGCAGATGGTTTCTGGAAGGGGAACTGGAGTACATAGATGGGAAAATGTGTGTAAAGGGGTCCTAGTTTGGAGGAAAGGTCTTGGGAAGACCTCGGTTACCCTGGACATCTACATACCAGGTGCCTGAGGAAGCATTGGGCAGTCACTGTGAGCAGTCTACACCAGCACACCGTCTTCCCACATAACTAAGTTTGATTTTCTTTTTTTTGAGTCAGAATCTCACTCTGTCACCCAGGCTGGAGTGCAGCGGCATGCTCACAGCCATCACAGCCTCGACCTGCTGCTGAGCTTGTTTTTTAAATGCCAGCGTAATGTTTTATAATTGGCTCCCACTCCTCAATATTTATGGCCCCGATGAAAGCTGTTTCTATGAATCACATCAATATTTTTGTTGATATTTGTGTGTGTGTGTGTGTCTGTGTCTGTGTATGTTTGTGTGTAATGATTTCTGGGCTGTGAAAAGATTTCCTGGGACTTAAGAGTATTTTCTAGTACTGCCTCTAACTAGCTGTGTGCTCTTGGCCAGGGAACCTTATTATTCTTAGGTGAATACTGAAGAGTCTTAGCCAGGTGCTGTCTAAGGGCCTTTCTCCCTTTGAAAGTGTTTCTTGGTGAAGGGCTAGGAGGAGAGACATTTAAGTAGCATTTGGATGAAGTGCCTACAGTTGAGTTCTCCAAAGGCAGCTGGAACTTTGCGGTATTTGTTACTAAGTTTCCTTTTATTAATTTCATTTTGTTCCTTTAGTACCTTAGACTGGGCACAGTGGCTTTGTCAGACCCAAGTTTTATACCAGGTGTTTCCTTCTGCCTTAACATTCCCTGAGGCAAATTGAATATGTTAATGTTTCGTAAGTCAGATTTTCCAATTCCCTAATCACTGCAAAGTTCTTGGCTGAGTTCCCTGTAGTCTTTATATTCACTGCAGTATTTATTATTGAGGGTCCTCAACTAGTAGAAGCTGATTCAGGCACAGTTTTGTTAGAAACAAATGTTACTGTGGTTGGAATAGCCTGAAATTAAATAATATATGGGGAAAAATGTTGTTGCATATGTCCTTACTTGGCTCCTCAAATTGCCTGCCTGTCAAACTCTTATTTAAATTTGACTTTTAAGTAAGGCGCTTTGGAAAATTGAGCTAAGCCAACTCTTAGTGACTTTTTTCCCCCTCTGAGCATTTCTTTCCTTCTAACAATGTTGCATATTTTACTTTGTCTAGGATTTTCAAGAAAGACATGTCTGACAAAATGTCTAGTTTCCTACATATTGGAGACATTTGTTCTCTGTACGCGGAGGGATCGACAAATGGATTTATTAGCACCTTGGGGTAAGAGCATGCAATTTCTTGTGTAGCAGGATTTGTTTAAAACATCCTAACATCAGCTTAAAACTGTGATTTTTCTAACTGAAGAATGTTACCATTTTACTTGGCTTTCCAAGAGCAGTTGAAATCACAAATACCAAATCGCATGTTAGCCAAGTTTAACCTCTTACGCAAAAGCACAGTAACACCATTTTCTGTCATTTCTGCAACAGCAAAACTTCATTAGCTAAGACTCAATTACTTATGAATTTATTATAACTTGCTCTTTCTTCCTATATAAAGAAAATGTTAAGTGTATGGAATAAAGTTCAATGAAGAATATTTATAAACCCCAAAGAAGTGCTTTTTACTCTTGCAAAAGCACTCTCTCTCTTTTTTTTTTCCAAATAGTGACTCATTTGTAATATAAGCAAAGACTGGAACTTCTGGAATGCTTATCTCTATTCTTTGAAGCAGACTTTTCCTACTTTAAATTGCTGTATGCATTTGAAAGTTATAAATTGCACAAAATTCTATAAATCAGATTTTAGCTCCTTTGTGCTTTTATTCACTCTTTATACAACTTTTAAGGGTATAAATATGTGCTCATTTGATTATCTTCTGCCTTATCCTCCTACCCCTATTGTCTAGAAGAGGAAATGAGAAGTGAAATAGCCCCAAAGGCAGACAGAAGCGAAATGGAGAATCACGATGGTGAACTCCAAAATAATCACAAATGGTCTAGATTGTTTTTGTGTGGAAAGGAATAGTTAGGCCTGGGGTAGCATTGTTGAATTTGGCAAGCGCTAGTCTCAAATCAATGGGGAGAAAGAAGGCCAACAGCTTCTTCAAGGAATCTCCTTCTTACAGCAGCAGAACCTTCCTTTTAATTATAGCTATTATTTAAAGCATGTTTGTTTCCTGGTATTTGTACAGAATGAGTATTCCCAGACTCTCATTCAGAGTACTCCACCCTCAAGGAGAAAATTGTTTTAGATACAGAATTAAAGTTCAATTAGTCCTGTGCTCTCACTGTATAAAAGTTTTGTTTTCAAAAGTCATCCAATAAAAAGAAGTCACCTGTGGCTGTCTGATCACCAAATCCAATGACTTGTTTCACTTGTAGACATTTGACCTCTCTGCGTTATGGACCCACCCTTAACAGTTTATCACCTGTGGATTTTGGCAAAGAGGCCTCCTGCTCCTCATGCCTCTCTGACTGCCCCGTCTTTCTTCTTGACTGGCTCCTTTCTCTTTCCACTGCTTATGGGTGAATCTTTCAACCACTTCTTATTTCAGTTGTGACAGCAACAATAATAAATGGCCATGGTATGCACCGTATGAGCCCTGCGGGTGCTCCTTGTGTAGCAGATACTATGCTGAGTGTTGGGCTTGCATTATCCCTGAATCGTCAGACAATCGTTATGGTGTGCACTGTCATCATCACTGTTTATGGAGGCAAAACCTGAGTTTCAGAGAGGTGAAGTCATTTGCCCAGTGTTTCACAGTTCAGAAGGCTTGCTAAGGCTGCTAACAGTTCCTCTCTGTGGGGCAGTCTCTCCCTTTTCTCTGTTTGCACACAGCTGCTATCTGAATACCCTGTTCAACCTTAGCCCACCATATGCTTATCTTTTTCCCGAGATTTCTCTCCTCCCAGTCACTCAAGTGCCCACTGAGCTCCTGAATTCTTAGTACCTTCTTTTCCTTTCTCCCATTCTTCCAGGGCATCTGTTCTTAAAATTTCTATGAAGTGCAAGCTCTTTGATTTATAAGCATTTTCCTCAAGTATTATACACAAATTAATGATGAACCACCTGCCCTCTTTGAAAGTAAGGGTGGCTCCCTTTTAAATTTTGGCCTGCAGATACTTCCTTTAGATAAATACTTTGTTTTTTTGGTTGCCTGCACATATTTGAGGATAGTAGTGTAAAAATTGATTTGGAAAGTAATCTTGACCTCTCTTCCTCCTTTTAATATTTTTAACACTTATGGAGTACCCGTTATGGACTACAAGGAGTGACTCCCAATTGTTATGGGACTTGGTGTCTAGTTCCCCAGCCCCATCCCATTTATGGAGATGGTTGTTACCTCCAAATGGCTTTATTGATTTGTTGGATTTTAGAACTCCCACAGGACCTTGGAGAGTCAGAGTGTGTGTGTGTGTGTGTGTGTGCGCGCACACACTAATCAGTGATGTGCTTCTGAATTATCTTTGGAACTTGTTAAAAATGCCCCCTCCTAGAACATAGCTTTAGTAAGCTGGGGATGACAGGATCCTGGTATCAGTAATGAAAAGTCTGATGAATATCCCCCTAGTTGAGAATCATTGAGACCGACTCTTTCATTTTACAGATGAAGAAACTGAGACCAGGAGGGGTAAAATACTGTAGTCATGGTCATGCTGCTAGTAGGGCAGAGTGCCATTTACAATTCATTTGTCTTCTACACTTGAGTGGAACCCTTTCTCCTGCTACTTCCTCCTTGTTCGAGAACTTGATAATTTACCCAGGCCTACCTTGGATTCTGACTCTGCTCTTTCTTTTTTTTTTTGAGTTGGAGTCTCACTCGGTGGCCCAGACTGGAGTGCAGGGGCCACTCCCGGCCACCGCAGCCTCGATCTGCCGGGCTCCGGCGATCCTTCTGCCTCAGCTTTCCGAGTGTCTGGAATTACAGGTATGTGCTACCACGCCTGGCTGATTTTTTATTTATTGTAGAGATGAGGTCTCACCAAGTTGCCCAGGCGGTTCTTGAACCTGCGGGCTCAGGCAATCCACTCACCTCAGCCTCCCAAAGGCGCGGGATTACAGGCTGAGCCACCGAGCCTGGCTGACTCTGCTCTTTCAAGTGTTATGTTAGCTTTGGTGGCATTACTGTACTTAAACTAACAAGGGCTCAGTGTGAAGGTTTTATATATGCACAGTCTGCTCTTGATTTTTGCATAAGAACTCAGGCCATTGGCCACACTGTCCCTCTTGCTGATGCAGTGAGGTCTTGTGTCTTGAAGCTGAAGAAGGCTGCTTGCTCTGGACACTTTGATTCACCTATAGATACTAAGCAGGTAACCTTAGGCGTCTTCTGGGATACAAAACAGGCAGCTCGCTGCCTTTATGGAGCTCATAGCCTGGTGCACCTTTTTTATTTTATATATAGTTTATTTTTTAAGAGACAGGGTCTTGCTCTGTCACTCAGGCTGGAGTACAGTGGTGTGATTGTGGATCACTGCAGACTCGACTTCCTGGGCTCAAGTGACCCTCTTGCCTCAGTGTCCTGAGTAGCTGGGACTACAGGTGTGTGCCACCATGTGTGGCTAAATTTTTTATTTTAGTATTTGTTGTGGAGACAATGTCTTGCTATCTTGCAGGAAAGGCTTGGGAATTTTGTGAAGAAGGTAGGACTTTGAATTAGCACCTTAAAAGATAAGACATTAAAAGGTGAAAGGGAATTTTGGAGAAAAGAACAGTTAAGGATAAAGGCTAAATATATATATTTTTTAAAATTTTTAGTTTTTTAGAGATGGTGTCTTTCTATGTTGTCCAGGTTGCACTCAAACTCCTCACACCTCAGCCTTCCAAGTAGGTGGGACTAGTGGCATGCACCCCCATGCCCGGTTTGACTGAATATGTGATGGTACTTGCATTTGGGATATGAGCAGAGACTGATGGAAGAAACCCTGGAAAACCATAGCATGTTATCTGGGAGCAAGTTCTATGGTTATTTGGAAAGTGAACTGCTCCTGTCAATCAATACCAGTTTTAGGAACTTGGATGAGTCATGTGACTTCTCAGAGCCTCATTTTCCTCATCTGTTAAGTTTTTTTTTTTTTTTTTTTAGTGGTTCTGAAAGAATAGAGCAAGTTAGATTGATCAGTCAGGACTTTAAATACTGGGTAATTTGAGCTTATTTATTCGTAATCTTTTGTAATTTTTCCTAGTTCCTTTTGAAGCTTCAGAGTCCTTTCATATCTCCATGTATTTGCACTTGTGGTCCCCTCCACCTGGAAATGCTCCCCTCTTTATCCTCCTACCTCAATTTTAGCTCTTCCGGTAATTCCTTTATAACTTCCTCTGCCTGCAGCTTCTTAGATGACCTCAGGCACAGTTACTTTCTGGCTTTTTGTTTTTCTTTCTTCTCTCCCAACCCTTAGAGCAGGGGTCCTCAAACTTTTAAAACTATGAACAAATTCCTTTTTTTTTTTTTTTTTAAACTATAGTCCGCCCCTCCAACGGTCTGAGGGACAGTGAACTGGCCCCCTGTTTTAACAGTTTGAGGACCTCTGGTTTAATGTGTCCATTGCAGAACAGAACCTTGGGCTTTTGGATTAGGTTTAGCTCCAAGCATAGGAAACCTCTAGTGTAAACAGCTCCTTGGCCTGAGAATATGTGTCTAAATTTTGCACAGGAAAAGTCCTGGGATATCTGATTTTTGCATAGTGCTAAGGGTTTTATTTTCCTGCACTTGGCTTGATATAGCATTTAAGCATTTATCTGTCTTCTTTGCAGACTGGTTGATGATCGTTGTGTTGTGCAGCCAGAAACTGGGGACCTTAACAACCCACCTAAGAAATTCAGAGGTAAGGTGGTAGCTTTCCTAGAGTGGTTATCTTAATTCACTTGAAAATTCTTGAAGTATGTTGCTCTGTGTGTGTGTGTGTGTGTTAAGCGATTATAGTTTTATTTATTTAAAGTGAGAAAGCAGGATTTATTGAGAGGACAGATAAAGCTCCCACAGTGGGAGGGGACCTGAAGGGGTTGCCCCAGCTTTATTTACTTATTATTTTTTTCAGAGCCTGATTTCAATTCTAAGCTTTATACGTTTTTGAAAAATGCATTAATAAATTCAGTGTCAAGATTGGGATGCTTTTTATTAGGGTCTTAATATGTCTATTGAATACATATTGGTAAGGGCTAACTCAGTGTAAAGTCTTACATTTGTGCAAATATTTCTCCAGACAAATAGGATTTATGGATCCAGACACAAGGAACATTCATCATTTCAGCAGATCTCACTGTCCCTTTGGGGGTGCTGATATTCTTAAGATACCTGTGATAGAATGAAAGACATTCTTGATTATTGCTTTTGCTTTTTGAGTTAAAGGACGCAGGCAGGGCAGCTTTCCTACCTAGATTGACTTTCTCTTTAGGCCTTCTGTATTTGAAAGTTAGCTTAGTTTATTGGAGGAGGTCTTTAAAATATAGTTGATATATTAGATGGTGAACATTTGGTTTGATTTTTGTTGTAGTGGTGGTTAGTGTTTTTCAGCTCTATCCACATATTAGAATTATCTGAGGAGCTTTTAAGTTAAATGGATGCTCAGGGCCCCACTCTGGGCCAATTAACTAAATCACTGGAAATTGGAGCCGGGGCATTTTTAAAGACTTCCCAAGTGATTCTTATATATAGCCGGAGTCAAGAACTACTGGGTTAAGTATTTGACTGATGGCCTCAGTCCCAAAGGGCTCAAATCTTGCCATGTGAAGATTATATCGTTTGAGTTATAAAGTCTTATTGTTTAGTGGTTCAGAAACTGTTTGACTTTTTTGGATAAAAGCTAAAGAAATTAGAATAAAGTAGAAGGCAGACGCTCAGATGGAGAGAAGCCATTTGAAAGACATTTGGTGTTGAGCTGCATCCAGTTGGCATGAGACTAGTAGGAGAATGTCTTCACCTGAGGCTGGAAGGGGGGGAATTTCTTTTAAAAAAAAGTTGTTGATACAGGCCCTGAATAACAGGATCCCCAGGGGCTGTTGACTTTACCACGGTTTTCTTCCCAATCCCTTCTCCATGTCTCCTTTAAAAACAAAATTTTGGGTGCTTCAGAAATGAAAATATTTGATCCAATAAGTGTAATCCAGGTCTTCATAGAATTGTTTCCCCACTCTGAATATTAAAAGGGACAAGATTGATTGACTGTGCCAGGTCCTGTGCTAAGTTACTCTGCCTACATTAGCTTAGAGTGACATCCTTCCACCCTTTGAGGGGACTGATACATTCAGAGGCTAAATACCTTGTCCATGGTCACATGGCTGCCTACGGATGGAGTAGGAGCCGTGATTCTAAACTTTGGCTGCACAGGTAAATCACCTGGAGAATGTTCAAAAATGTCTGAGTTCCATTCCAGGGATTCTGATTTAATTGGGCATTGGGATTTTTTTAAAGCTCCCCAGGTGATTCTCTTGTGCAGCCAAGGCTAAGAACCACTGCTATTAGAGCCTGGTTTATAAACCATCAACTTTATTACTCAGGGAAGATTGATCCAGGCTTGGCTTTTGCAGCTGGGACCACATGGAGAGATGTGAGTCAGGAACGTGTTGCTTGGGTCCAGTGTGAGGTCTCATCCCATTCTACATACAGGTCTTGGGAGTTGGGAAATAAACTTGGAGATATTTTAATGCACAGTACAAAGGTAACTACTGGCTATTAAAAAGTTCATATATTTTGAAATTGCATTTATTTTTTAAATTGACACATAAATATTGTACTTATTTATGACGTAGGTCATGATGCTTTGAAATATTGTATACATTGTGGAATGACTAAAATGAGTTAATTAACATATAGATTACCTCGCATACTTATTTTTTTGTGTGATGATAACAATTCAAATGTACTCTTAGTGATTTTCAAGTATGTAGTATGTTGTTGTTTGCTGTAGTGACTGTGTTGTATAATAGATCTCTGGAACTTACTCTTCCTATCTAACTGAGATTTGTATCCTATGACCAGCATCTCCTCAGTCCCCCTCTCCTGGTGACCACCATTCTACTCTCTGTTTCTATGAGTTCAACTTTTTTAGATTCTACATATAAGTGAGATCATGTGATGTTTGTCCTTCTGTCTCTGGTTTATTTCACTTAACATAATGTCCTCCATGTTCACCCATGTTGTCAAAAATGAACCAGTGGCCATTTGAATACATGGTTATTATGTTAAAATAAATAGGACCATAGCAGGGGGAGTTGGAAAAGGTATGTTTTCCTGGCTCTAGGGTAGAAGTGCCTGGTACTTGGATTTGCATTAGGGTAGAAGCGCCTGGTGGCTGATTTGAAGGGACTGTTTTGAAATAAAAGGAACAGTCTGATACAGGCCATTTGGAAAGAACCAAACTCCTTTTATGGCCAGGCCTGTTCTACAGGTGGTCACATGATAGTGACTTGATTTGTTGACTGTCTTTCTCCATAAATTAAAAATGAAAGTTTCTAGGTTGTGAGTCGCTTTGTACTTGTGGGAAAATCTGGTTCAAAACAAGCTCTGCTACTGGCTTTGTGAATGTAGGTCAGGACTTCCTTAATTCCATGTGCTAAAGCAGAGGCTCCCAGCACACAGGTGAGGGGCCAGGCAGATCTGTCTTTGCAAACTGTTTCATTGCTGGAAAGATCTGCTCCTCTGCTGTGGAACTTGGGTAGTGAGTTAAAAAAAAAAAATTTCCAAGGCTGGGCTCCATGACTCAGCCTGTAATCCCAGCACTTTGGGAGGCTGAGGCTAGTGGATTGCCTGAGCCTGCGGGTTCAAGACAGCCCAGGCAACTTGGAGAGAGTTTGTCTCTAAAAAAAAAAAAAAAATCCAAGGTGTTCCTTCAACTGTTGTGCAGCATACTTTAAAATAATTTTTTTTTCTGAAATGAAGAAAAAGATCTCTCTTTTGGAAGTGACTGCTGCTTTTCCAAATACAAATATATTTTGGAGTTGAAGTCATTTTGCTGTTTAGAAATTGTACATAGGGCAGTTGGGTAATTTGGAGGTACTTCTAGTCCATTTTCTTACAGAGCTGTTGTACCCTAGAGTTTAGCAAATGCATATGGAAAAGCAAGATGCTGTCAAGCAGCCCAATAGGATGATGGAGTCCTTATCCGAGCAATCAGCAGAGCTGCCTGTAGTCATTTAGGTTTGCTCTTGCTTCCATTGTTTCCTTGCCAAGTTATTTCCTATATTGAGAACCATCATAACCTGTTCTTAAGTAAATGGAAATACAAGGTCTGTTTATGCAGTATTCCCTGTGGCTTCTGACTTTGGTTTTTAATTTTGTGAGCGCCTCTTGAGATCTGCAACTCCAGTGGTTAATAACATAGGCTCTCAGACCAGGCTTCCTGGATTCCAATTCAAGTTCCACTAATTCTTAGCCGTGTGACCCTGGACAAGTTACTTAACCTCTTTGAACCTTGGTTTTCTCATCTGTAAATTGGAAGATGATAATAATCTCTACCTCATAAGGTCATTGTGAAGATTAAATGTGCGTTAAGAATTTAGTATTGAGGGGGCCTGGCCCTTAGTTAAGGGCTCGGTAAGCCTTAGATATTCTTATCTTTTCATTCCCAGTACTTACTACAGAGCCTGACACTCATGAATGGTGGCAGAAGGGAAAGGAATTCTTTAATGATATGAGAATAATTAGGTATTGTTACTCTTTTTTGTCTTTAAATGCTTTATGGGTGGCGATGTGTACATGGACCCCTGGGCCTGGATTTGAGACCTAGTGCTCCCATATACAAGCTAAGTAACCTTGATAGATTACATTTTCTCAGCTTGTTTCTCCACCTGTAAAGGGAGGGAAAATAATTCCTTCCTTATAAAGATAATAGGATTAAATATAATATGGATAAAAAGCCTAATAGAATGCTTGGTACTTGGTAATTGCTTAGTGCTGGTAGCTGTTATTTTTTACTCTTGGTGTAGAAGAGTTAAACGTTGAACACACTTGTTTTTCTCTTATGGTTAAAAGACATTTTCAGAGTGAATTACTTGTGTGTGTGTGTGTGTGTGATTTTCTGAATGTATCTCCTGCCCATAACTTCATTGGTTGTACATCTGTGTCACATAAGCCAAGACATTTTTTAATCATCTGAATTAATTTTGGGCAATGTCATTGTCCTCTAAATGATGAGGAGAATTGAGATGTAGAATAATTCAGCTACTTTTGTTAATGTGATTGAAAGCTCTAGCGTCCCTGGAAGGTAAGGCAGAATCTCTTTTCTCTGTAGTTTATATTGGCTTTGCCCATAATCTTGAAAGAATAAAGAAGGCAAACATCAGATTGAAACTAGGAATAGAAACTTTGCGGTTAGCAAATTCCTTTCTCTGTATTGTTTTCCTCTTCCCACTTCTACCCATCCCTCCTCACCCCCCAGTGCTAAATATAAAGGCATCTTCTACAAAGGAAAGTTGGAAACTAACAACCAGTCTTCATTTTGATCCCAGGATCTCTGCTCTTTTAAACATAAATAACCTCTAGAGTTGGAGTAGAAACAAGGGGACTGAGGCTTTTGGGAAATGAGATAGGCTTTAGTGTTGATCATGCCATTATTGTGTAATCTCCTTTTTTTTTTTTTTTAAGATTGGGGCAACAGTCAAGTTCTTGCCTCAAAACTTGATCTTCTTTGTTCACTTCAAGAGGCCAATCTTGGCACCAGATTCTTCACCTTGAACAGATGTTACCACATCAACATTATTGAAGTGTGTGGCTTTTAATCTTCAGGAAACCTCTTAGTTTCAGAATAAAAGCTGTTTAAAGGGAAACTTACTGTTTAAGATGAGAAGTTGGGCAGGGAAAGTTGAGGTAAAAGGAAGCATTCTATCA